AAGGCGGAGTCGGGGCGGGTGGGCGGGGCATCTTTTTTCAACCACATGAATCAATAAACAGGCACACCTTTTTTTTTAAATCATGAATTTTCAATCAATAGTACTTAAATCGTGTTAAGCTCCGCCTTTAGTTTCACGATTAATAAACAAACTCATTTAGGCTAGAAGAGAAGAGTGGCCGGGGATAATTTGTTTAATATTTTCCTCAAAATAGTTTTCTTTCGGAAAATAATTATCTAAAATAAGTTTCAAAGGTAATTACTTCAACAGAAATATTTCAGCCGCATCGAAGCTTCGCTGGCCCTGAGTTCAAGAGGAATAAGAAGGACCGTTAAGGCGGAGCCAGGGCGGGGCATCTTTTTTCTGCCACATGAATCAATAAACAGGCACACCTTTTTTTTAAATCATAAATTTTCAATTAACAGTACTTAAATCGTGTTAAGCTCCGCCTTTAGTTTCACGATTAATAAACAAACTCATTTAGGCTAGAAGAGATGAGTGGGCGAGGATAATTTGTTTAATGTTTTCCTCAGAATAGTTTTCTTTCGGAAAATAATAATCTAAAATAAGTTTCAAAGGTAATTACTTCAACAGAAATATTTCAGCCGCATCGAAGCTTCGCTAGCCCTGAGTTCAAGAGGAATAAGAAGGATCGTTAAGGCGGAGTCAGGGCGGGTGGGCGGGGCATCTTTTTTCTACCACATGAATCAATAAACAGGCACACCTTTTTTTTTTTAATCATAAATTTTTAATTAACATTACTTAAATCGTGTTAAGCTCCGCCTTTAGTTTCACGATTAATAAACAAACTCATTTAGGCTAGAAGAGATGAGTGACCGGCGATAATTTGTTAAATGTTTTCCTCAGAATAGTTTTCTTTCGGAAAATAATTATTTAAAATAAGTTTCAAAGGTAATTTACTTCAACAGAAATATTTCAGCCGCATCGAAGCTTCGCTAGCCCTGAGTTCAAGAGGAATAAGAAGGATCGTTAAGGCGGAGTTAGGGCTGGTGGGCGGGGCATCTTTTTTCTACCCCACGAATCAATAAACGGGCACACTTTTTTCTTAAAATCATCAATTTTCAATGCGCAGGTACTTAAAAAAGCCTCATTTGTAAGTGGGCTCCGCCTGTATTTTGAACACGTATCAAGTACCTGTTAATAATTTTGAAAATATTGAAAATTGATAATTTTACGGAAAAAGGTGTGCCAGTTTATTAATTAGTGTGGTAGAAAAAAGATGCTCCACCCACCCGCCCGCCTTAGACTCCGCCATAATGAACTGTTTTATTTGTTCAAAGTCCAAAGCAAAGTTTAAATGCAAACCAATTATTTTTGTAAAAGAAATTGTCTTTTAAAGCGTATTTTTGGTATGTATTTTGGACAACAAACTATTATGATAACAACCTTTAAGAAATAAGCCCCGCCCACACACCCCTGCTCATTTAAATGAGTTTCTTATTAATCGTGAAAGGAGAGGAGGAGCTTACATTCAAATGAGGATTTTTTGTGGGAATTCCTAGATTTTGAACACGTTTTAAGTACCTACCTGTTCATTGAAAATGGATGATTGTAAAAAGATCAAGAAGGCGGAGCTTCGGACGGGTGGGTGGGGAATCTTTTTTCTACTACAGTAATCAATAAACAGGCTTTCTTTTTCTTTCACGATGAATAAACAAAGTCATTTGGGCTAATGGTGAGTGGGCGGAGCTAATTTGTTTAATGTTTTTCTCAGAATAGTTCGCTCAGAAAATAATTATTTAAAATAAGTTTAACAGGCAATTTCTTGTACAAAAATATTTCAGTTGCATCTAAGCTTCGCTCACCCTGAAATCATGAGGCATAAAAAGGATCATCGAGGCGGAGTTCAGGGCGGGTGGGCGGGGCATCCATTTTCTACCACATGAATCAATAAACGGGCACACCTTTTTTCTTAAAATCATCAATTTTCAATAAAAAATACTTAAATCGTGTTCAAAATATACAAAAAAAAACATTATTTGAAATTACGCTCCGCCTTTGCCTTCACCATTAATAAACAAACACATTTAGGCTAGAAGAGATGAGTGGGCGGGGCTAATTCATTTAATGTTTTCTCAGAACAGAAAAGAATTATTTAAATTTAGTTTCCAAGGTAGTAATTTTTCAACAGAAATATTTCAGCTGCATTTAAGTTTCGCTCGCCCTGAGCTCATGAGGAATAAGAGGGATCGTTAAGGCGGGGTTAGGGCGGGTGGGCGGGGCATCTTTTTTGTACCACGTGAATCAATAAACGGGCTCACCTTTTTTTCTTAAAATCATCAATTTTCAATGAGGTACCTAAAACGTGTTCAAAATATAAACATTTCCAGACAAAATCTTTTTCTTTAAGTGGGCTTTGCCTATATTTAAAATACGTGTCAAGTACCTGTTAATAAATTTGAAAATCTTGAAAATTCATGATTTTAAGGAAAAAAGTGTGCCCGTTTATTGATTAGTGTGGTAGAAAAAAAAAGCCCCACCCACCCGCCCGCCCTAGACTCCACCTTAATGAACTGTTTTATTTGTTCCAAGTACAGAGCAAAGTTTAAATGCAAACCAATTATTTTAGTAAAAGAAATTGTCTTTTAAAGCATATTTTTAGTATGTATTTTGGACAACAAACTATTATGATAACAACCTTTAAGAAATAAGCCCCGCCCACACACCCCTGCTCATTTAAATGAACTTCTTATTAATCGTGAAAGGAGAGGAGGAGCTTACATTCAAATGAGGATTTTTTGTGGGAATTCCTAGATTTTGAACACGTTTTAAGTACCTACCTGTTCATTGAAAATGGATGATTGTAAAAAGAAAAGGTTTGTCCGTTTATTGACTCATTTTGTACAAAAAAGATGTCCCGCCCACCCGCCCGAACTCACGAGGGATAAAAAAATCAAGAAGGCGGAGCTTCGGACGAGTGGGTGGGGCATCCTTTTTCTACTACAGTAATCAATAAATGGGCTTTCTTTTTTTTTTCTGGAAGCTCCGCCTTTGGTTTCACGATGAATAAACAAAATCATTTAGGCTAAAGGTGAGTGGGCGGAGCTAATTCGTTTAATGTTTTTCTCAGAATAGTTCGCTTTCAGAAAATAATTATTTAAAATAAGTTTAACAGGCAATAAAAAGTACTTAAATTGTGTTCAAAATATACAAAAAAAATCATCATTTGAAATTAAGCTCCGCCTTTGCCTTCAGCATTAATAAACAAACTCATTTACGCTAGAAGAAATGAGTGGGCGGGGCTAATTCATTTAATGTTTTCTCAGAACTGTCTGCTTTCAGAAAAGAATTATTTAAAATAAGTTTCCAAGGTAATAATTCTTCAACAGAAATATTTCAGCTGCATTTAAGTTTCGCTCGCCCTGAGCTCATGAGGAATAAGAAGGTTCATTAAGGCGGAGTTAGGGCGGGTGGGCGGGGCATCTTTTTTCTACCCCACGAATCAATAAACGGGCACACTTTTTTGTTAAAATCATCAATTTTCAATACGCAGGTACTTAAAAAATCCTCATTTGTAAGTGGACTCCGCCTGTATTTTGAACAAGTTTCAAGTACCTGTTAATAATTTTGAAAATATTGAAAATTGATGATTTTACGGAAAAAGGTGTGCCCGTTTATTAATTAGTGTGGTAGAAAAAACATGCCCCACCCACCCGCCCGCCCTAAACTACGCCTTAATAAACGGTTTTATTTGTCACAAGCAAGAGAAGAGTGGGCGGAGCTAATTCGTTTAATTTCTCAGAATAATTCGCTTTCAGAAAATTATTATCATTTAAAGTAAGTTTCAAAGGTAATTTCTTCAATAAAAATATTTCAGCTGCATATTTCAGGATCATTAAGGCGGAGTTGGGGCGGGTGGGCGGGGCATCTTTTTTCAATAAGTTTTCAATGCGCAGGTATTTAAAAAACCCTCATTTGTAAATGGACTCCGCCTATATTTTGAACACGTTTCAATTACCTGTTAATTATTTTGAAAATATTGAAAATTGATGTTTTTAAGAAAAAGAAGTGTGTTGATTAATTGATTACTGTCGTAGAAAAAAAATGCCCCACCCACCCGCCCTAGACTCCGCCTTAATGATACTTTTCATTCGTCATGAGCTGAGGGCAAAGCTTACATGCAAACAAATTATTATTTAATTTGCATTTATTTATTTATTTAGTAGTATTTGTTCATTGCAAATTGATGATTTTCAGAAAAAACAATGTGGCCGTTTATTGCTCATCGTGAAAGAAAAACATGCCCTGCCCACCCGCCCTTAACTCCGCCTTGATGATCCTTTCATCCTTCATTAGGTCAAGGAGCGCGAAACTTACCTACAAATGAAATATTTCTCTAGAAGAAATTGCCTTTGGAACTCATTTTGAATACATAATTTATTACTGAAAATACGACTATTCAAACAAAAACATCAAACCTTCTAGGCTAAATGAGTGTTTACTTATCCTGAAACGATAGGCGGGGCTTAATTTCTAATGAACTATTTTTGCGGGAAAAACACCTGAAAATGTTCCAGAATCCTGATTATTGCGAGTTTATAGCATATAAAAAAAAATATTGTATTATATGTGACGAGAGGCGGAGTTTACTTAAAATAAGATATTTCAGTGGAAAAGTTATGTCGATTTTCTTTTTTTTTGTGAAAATGAATGAAGAAACCAAATTCTGAGAATCAAAAATGAATAGACACAATGTTGTTGTATGGTAGGGATTCTGGTTGACATTTTGGCGCGAATATTTGAAAAAGTTTGGGAACCACTGCTGCAAAAAATACACCCGAACCGCATCAATGGAACCTCGTGGTGCCCCCACACCTAACCCAAAAATAGCGCCTTCGACATAAATATTTTCAATGGAGTTCAAATTCAAGTGCTCAAACGTAATCGTCCTCTAGTACCTCTACGACTCCCAGATTTGTAAACACACAATCACGACCTAACATTTAACGAGAGGTCACGGTTAAATTCCTAATTCTTACCTCAATTTCGCTGCGTATTCGTACTCTATCGTCGCCCTATCCTTAACAAAATGCCCGTACTTCTCCAAAAAATCGATTCCTTTCAACGTGTGAGCCGACAAATTGTCGTACTGGTCCTGCAACAAGAAAAACATCCTTTAGCGCGTTCTATTTCTAGATCCAGTTTAAAAAGGAAGTGAACATCATTAGCGATTTGTAGCACACGCTGTGAATTATCAAGTGAATTCGTTCAAAATTCTCCTCGACGGAGAAAATGAGGAAAGCGTTTTCTAAAAAATCGGGGAAAACTGGCGTTCGTAGTGGAAGTAAGTAAGACGAAGGTTGGAGTCAGCCGAAGGCGATAAACAAACTAGTTGCAGCACACCTAGTTTGAATCTTTGATTGAATTATGTATTCGTGTTTGGTTCACGATTTACGCCGAATTTGCGGTCAAGATTAGACAAAGATTGATTCGAAGTTCGGGGGTTTTCGCAACAATGGAACAGTGCGGGGTTTCGAAATGGTCGTTGGCACGTGTGGCTTGAAAAGTCGTTGCGGGCCGAAAAAATCTTAACGATGTTTTAATGAAAAGTCATTTTAGAGGAATTCGGTGTGCTCGTAGTCGCACAGAAAAAGCGGCGAAAGGTCGAGATGATTTCATTGGATTTTTGACCGGACTTCGGGGGCGAGGGAAGTTCTGTCGAAATAACCTATAAACATTAAAAAAAAAAAACGTTTGAATTTTCAATCTTCAGTTTTCCGTTTTTCAACTTTTGTCAGTTTAGTTTTTACTTTTACAGGTTTTGTTTTGAAATTTCTCCAGTTAAATTTTCGAATTTACGGTTTGTTGTTTTTTTGGTTTTTCAGTTTCTAGATTTTTAATTTTCCGTTTTTTCAATTTTACGTTCTCATTTTTGAATTTTTCATTTTCCGACTTGCAATTTTTCAGTTTTAGAACTTTGTGATTTTTCACTTTGTCTTTTTTTGAATGTTTCAATTTTTTAATTTTTCAAATTTTGAATTTACAGTCCTTCAGTTACTCGATTTTTTTAAATGTTTGTTTTTCCAATTCGTTTCTTCAATTCTACCTTTTTGCAATTTTTGAATTTTCCTAATTTTCGTTCTCCATTTTTAGGATTTTCAGTTTTATCCATTTTTATTTTTCGATTTGTAATTTTTTGAGTTTTAGATTTTTCAAGTTTCGAATGTTTTGATTTTTTAAATTTTCGAGTTTTCAATTTTAAATTTTCATTTTTCAGCTTTCGAATTTTTCAGTTTTTCGTTTCTTCAAGTTTACGATTTTCCAATTTTTTGATATTTCAATTTTTCCATTTTTCGAGTAATCAATTTTATAGGCTGCGATTGTTCACCTTTTGAATTGTTAATTTTTTTTTTCTCAATTTTTCGTTTCTTCAGTTTTACGGTCTCATTTTTGAATTTTTCAGATTTTCGATTGGCAATTTTTCAGCTTTGGTATTTTTAGATTTTTCAGTTTGTTGATTTTTAAAAATTTTTAAAACAAGAAATTGATAAATAAAAACGCCAATTCGTTTCTTCAATTCCACCTTTTTGAAATTTTTGAATTTTCCAAATTTTCGTTCTGCAATTTTTAGGGTTTGCAACTTTGAATGTTTCCATTTCTCAACTTTTGAATTTTTCAGTTTTCCATTTCTTCAAGTTTACGATTTTGCGATTTTCTGATATTTCTATTTTCCGTTTTTTTCAATTTTTGTTCTTTTGTGTTTCCATTTATGGATTTTTATCTCTTCTATTTTAAGATTTTACAATTTTTCAACTTTCCAACTTGGTGATTTTTCAATTTTCTTGACTTGAAAGATTGAAGAGACGGAAATTTTAAAACTTCAGAAAGTTAAAAAGCGAAAAATCAAAAAATATAAGCATTCAAAAATCGAAAAATTAACTTTTCGCTTTTTAGATTTTTCGACTTATAACTTTTGAATTTTACGATTTTCGCAATTTGACAATTGCGTTACTTTTCGATTTTACATTTCAGAATTTTAAAATTTTTCGATTTATTTTTTCGAGTTTTCGGCTTTTCGATCTGCAATTTCTCAGTTTTGCAGTTTCTTTGTTTTTCAAATTCTTGGTTTAAATTTTTCGAATTTTCCTGTTTTCAATTGTGAATTTTTCAATTTTTTTGTTTTACAATTTTACTATTTTGCAGTTTTTGGACTTTTAAATTTTAGAATTTAAAAATATTTGGGGTTTTTCGGTTTTCCAAGTTTTCGTTCCTTTGAATCGATCGATTTGCAACTTCTTGATTTCGAATTTTCGAGTTTTCAAATTCAAAATTTTTTATTTTTCAAGTGTTGAATTCTGCAATTTTTCGTTTCTTCAATTTGAAGACTACGTTATTTTTCGATCTTTACACTTCGAAATTTTTAAATTTTTTGAGTTTTCGATTTGTAGCTTTTGTAGAGTTTTCAATTTTAAATTTTCGAATTTTGTTATTTTTGGAACATTTATTTGTTGGAGTTTTCATCTTTTCGTTTCTCCAAGTTTTCGATCTGCAAATTTTCCGGTTTCGTAGTTCTTTTACTTATCAATTTCTTGTTTTTCCAATTTTCCTGTTTCAAACTTTAAATTTTTCAAGTTTTCATTTCTTCAATTTAACTATTTTGCAGTTTTTGGACTTTTAAAATTTTGAATTGTTAAATTTTTCCATTTTTTTTACTTTTTTTCACGATTGTGCACTTTTTCGATTCTTGAATTTTACGACTTTTAGATTTTTGAAAAATATCGATTTTGTATTGATCGATTTGCAACTCTTCAATTTCGGAACTTTTGGAATCTTTATTTAATTGTTGAATTTTGTGAATTTTGGAAATTTACAAGTCAAGAAAATTGAAAAATAAAAACATTCAAAAGTTGAAAAACTAAAATACCCAGAAAAATCGAAAAAATGAAAAAGTTAAAATTGGAAATCAGGAAAAAATTAGATTTAGATTAGACACTCTTTAAATTGAAGCATATATTTTTTTTTAATAATAATTATAGCGAAAAAACGGATGTAGTGTAAAAGCTAATAAAAAAGAACATTAAGCAAAAAAAACGAATATTAGAGGAAACTTCGATTTTTCAGGTTTTCGATTGTTCAGGTCAAAAAAATTGAAAAATCGAAAAGCTGAAAGGTAGGAAAATTGTAAAATTTATAAACTCAAAAAATGAAAAATTGAAAGATTCAAAAGTTCAAGATTGATAACTCAAGAAATGTAAAATCGAAAAAAAAAACACAAATTGAGAAAACGATTTTTCAATTTTTCGTTCCTTCAATCGTTTGTTTTGCAAGTTCTCGATTTCGACTTTTCGAGTTTGTTTTTCCAATTCGTTTCTTCAATTCTACCTTTTTGCAATTTTTGAATTTTCCAAATTTTCGTTCTGCAATTTTTTTAGGATCTTCAGTTTTATCCATTTTTATTTTCTTATTTTTCGATGTTTTGATTTTTCAAACTTTCGAGTTTTCAATTTTAAATTTTCTTTCGAATTTTTCAGTTTTTCGTTTCTCCAGGTTTACGATTTTCCAATTTTTTGATATTTCAATTTTTCCATTTTTCGAGTAATCAATTTTATAGATTGCGATTGATCACCTTTTGAATTGTTAATTTTTTTTTCTCAATTTTTCGTTTTTTCAGTTTTACGGTCTCATTTTTTAATTTTTCAGATTTTCGATTAGCAATTTTTCAGCTTTGGTACTTTTAGATTTTTCAGTTTGTCGATTTTTAAAAATCTTTGTTTTACCAATTCGTTTCTTCAATTCCACCTTTTTGAAATTTTTGAATTTTCCAAATTTTCGTTCTGCAATTTTTTGGATTTTCAGTTTCTCGATTTTTATTTTCCTATTTTTCGATTTTTCAATTTTTGGGGTTTTCAACTTTGAATGTTTTCATTTTTCAACTTTTGAATTATTCAGTTTTTCATTTCTTCAAGTTAACGATTTTGCAATTTTCTGATTTTTCAATTTTTCGTTTTTTTCAATTTTTTTTCTTTTGTGTTTCCATTTATGGATTTTTATCTCTTCTATTTTTAGATTTTACAATTTTCCAACTTTCCAACTTGGTGATTTTTCAATTTTCTTGACTTGAAAGATTGAAGAGACGGAAATTTCAAAACTTCAGAAAGTCAAAAAGCGAAAAATCAAAAAATATAAGCATTCAAAAATCGAAAAATTAATTTTTCGCTTTTTAGATTTTTCGACTTTTAACTTTTGAATTTTTCAATTTTACGATGTTCGCAATGTGACAATTGCGTTACTTTTCGATTTTACACTTCAGAATTTTAAAATTTTTCGAATATTTATTTTTTCGAGTTTTCGGCTTTTCGATCTGCAATTTCTCAGTTTTGCAGTTTCTTTGTTTTTCAAATTCTTGGTTTAAATTTTTCGAATTTTCCTGTTTTCAACTTTTAATTTTTACGATTGTGCAATTTTTTGATTTTTTTGTTTTACAATTTTACTATTTTGCAGTTTTTGGACTTTTAAATTTTAAAATTTAAAAATGTTTCGGGTTTTTCGGTTTTTCAAGTTACCTCGAATCGATTGATTTGCAACTTCTTGATTTCGAATTTTCGAGTTTTCAAATTCAAAATTTTCGATTTTTCAAGTGTTGAATTCTCCAATTTTACGATTTTGCAATTTTCCGTTTCGTCAATTTGAAGACTGCGTTATTTTTCGATCTTTACACATTATTTGCAATTTTTCAGTTTTACAATTTTTAGATTTCCAAAAATCGATTTGTAGCTTTCCAATTTCCATATTTCGAGTTTTCAATTTTAAATTTTCGAATTTTGTAATTTTTGGAACTTTTATTTTCATCTTTTCATTTCTCCAGGTTTTCGATCTGCAATTTTTTCAGTTTCGTAGTTTTTTTATTTATCAATTTCTTGGTTTAACTTTTTTTCAATTTTTCATTTCTTCAACTGTTACGATTGTGTAGTTTTTTGAGTTTTTGGTTTTACAATTTAACTATTTTGCAATTTTTGGACTTTTAAATTTTTGAATTGTTAAATTTTTCGATTTTTTTTACTTTTTTTTTCACGATTGTGCACTTTTTCGATTCTTGAATTTTACGACTTTTAGATTTTTGAAAAATAGCTATTTGGTATTATCGATATGCAACTC